TGTAGAGTTTGAATCTGGAAGCTCTGGATTACAACACTAGTGCACTTGCATCCTCCGTAGTGTAACTCGTGTAAAGTACACGTAATTATGTACAGTATTTAGGTGTTTATTTAATTTTATGAGTTATTTAATACAGTCGAACCTCTACTAATGGCCACTTCTCTACAATGGCCATTTATTTTTGTCCTGACGGAAAGTCCATGCATTCACTGTTGTTTTACCCTCTCTATTTTTATTATTGACATATTTTGACTGTGTTACGTATTTATAGGCTAAAATAATCATTTTGTTTTTAAAAGTAAATGTTGTACCCTCGAAAAGAATAGGTGTCATATTACACTCCTACCTCCCCATAACGGCCACCTCTCGGCCACTTTCCACTGTCCCCAAGGTGTCCGTTGTACAATGGTTCAACTGTAATTCAATTCAACAACATGACCTGTAGTGATTCACTTGCTAAAAATTTCCTTTGCACAGTGAACCATACCATGATATCAGGTATAACCTGATGGCTGTTGTGGCCGATGGAATGACAATTTGTGAGGAAAAGCTAAAACGTTTAAGTGCAGAAAGGTATGTGCCACATGAATGTACCACATTGTAATCATTTCCATCCTGAGTCCTATGCAGTTCTTGTTGTGTACTCCGCACAAATTTGGTAAAACTAAAGGTACATGCACGAAATATCACGTTTAGGATAAAGTAAAATTCATTTAGTACCTTACATTAATTTTTTTTGGAATGAATTGTGCGAGTAATATGCCAATTCCGATATATTTACTCATTAAAATTCTAACTTTGCTCCAAGGCTTAGGGGAATAAAACAAAAGAAATTAATTATTCATCCCTCATCTTCCATGTGATTTCTTTTGTTTTATTCCCCTAAGCCTCGGAGCCAAGTTAGAATTTTAATATATCGGAATTGGCCTATTACTAAACAGACAGTTAGTACCAACACAGTTTTGACATTTTTATTTTCATTTTTTTCCTACAGAGAGAACATATTGGAATCATTAAAAAAGGTAATAAGTTTAGAAGACTGCTTGCACCCAGCATTTTTCTCTCAGGGTCCAACTTTGTGTGTTTATCCCTGACTCGTTACAGGATATTACGGATCTACATGTTGAGTTACGGTTGTCAAAATGCAGGTAATCTGCATTGGACAGTAGTATCGCAGGGGTTTCATTAACGGCCGGGCACCGGGCAAATTGACCAGCTGTGAGAACAATTTTGCCCGTCCGGTTTAACCATCTGGAGGAAAGTTTTCCTTATGAAGAAGCTCAGTTCAAAACGTTTCACGCGCCTGTGAAAACCGGTGTCCCTCCTGCTGGAAATGTTGATGAAATTCCTGCAGTCTGCATGTCAACCACGGGTAGTAGTAGCACTCTTAGTACTAGTACTGTA